CAGCTGCTGTTGAAACTAATCAGTTTCAGCAGCGGCTGAATCTGGACGCCAGTTCCGACTTACATACAGATTCAACTTAAGAACAAACCTACAGTCCCTATCTTGTACGTAACCCGGGGACTGCCTGTATTTGGAGGACAGGGTCATAATTCAAAATGATTTGTACAAACTGGAGAAATGGTCTGAGGTAAACAGAATGAAGATGAATAAGGACAAATGCAAAGTATGCCACTTAGGAAGGAAAAATCAGTTCCACACATACAAAATGGGAAGTCACTGTCTAGGAAAGAATATTGCAGAAAGGAGTCTAAGGGTCATAGTGAGCCACAAGCTAAATATGAGTCAACAGTGTGACACTTGAAAAAAAGAAAAAAAAAACACCACACACAAACAAAACAAAACCACAACCCAAACACCATTCTGGGATACAGGAGGGCTGTGAGCAAGACACATGAATAAGGAGAATACTACTTCTGCTTTACTCTGCACTGTTTAGGCCTCAGTTGGAGTTAGGGATGTAAGTAACTCCTCCCCTCCCCACTGCAGCATGCACACTTCCCTGCAAGCCAGATCCAGCATGGAGCCTCCAGGCTTTCCCTCCAGAGGAAGCCAGTGCTGGCACTCTAATCATGCGAGGAGGGAGCACAAGGCTGGAGTGCAAGGCAGGTGGCAGCTCCCCACTGGGTCATGACGCATCGGGGCCCCGGACCCTAAAGTAGAAGCAGGGCCGGAGGAGACTGCAGCCGCCGCCCCCTGGCTCTCCTGCAGGGGAGCCAGGGTCCGGCAGGGAGCAGAGGGTGACCCCTGAGGAAGAGGCAGGGGAAACCCCGAGTCATGGCCTTCCTCTTCTGACTCTGCCAAGGCTGGGAGGGGGCGACTGGGGCAACGCAGTGACATGATGATGTCACTTTGTTGTCCTGCAGGAAACATTTTTTTAAATCTAGAGAGAGAGAAAAAATACTTGGGTTTGTTTAGTTTGGAAAAGAAAAGACTGAGAAGAGACACGACTGCAGCTTTCAAGTACTAAAAAGATGTTACAAGGAGGAGGGGAAAAAATTATTCTCCTTGACCTCTGATGATAGGACAAGATGATAGGATGGGCTTAAATTGCAGCAAGGCAGGTTTAGGTTGGATATTAGGAAAAACTTCCTGTCAGGGTGGTTAAACACTGGAATAAATTGCCTAGGGTGGTTGTGGAATCTCCATCACTGGAGATATTTAAGAGCAGGTTAGATAGACATCTATCAGGGATTATTTAGATGGTGGATGGTCCTACCGTGAGAGCAAGGGGACTGAATTTGATGACCTCTCAAGGTCCCATCTAGGGATGTTAGATATCAGGTAACTGAATGAGTTCTTATCGGTTACACGATTATTTGATGGTCCCCGCAGCCAGGACTGGCTGCCAATGTGCTCCAGCCCCCACTCCTGGGGAGTCCCCTGCCATCCCATGTTGCCGCCTCTGACACAGAGGCAGAAGCGTGGGGTGGCAGCAGATCCTGCTTACGGGGGTTCAAGATCCCTGTGGACAGAGGCTGCACTGTGGGGAGCTCAGGCCTGCTGCAGACAGAGGCTGCTTTGCGGCAGCCTCCCCTGCTCCCCTGGCCCTGCACTGCTGCCCCTGATAGAGGCAGCAGTGTGCGGTGGGGGGTGAGGGGGGAGCGGGAGGGTTGCAGCGCCACTGCTTTTAAGCTAGCTCCCCCAGCACCAGCTCCTGCTCCCCCCCCCCCCCCCCTCCCCCCTTCCAAACACCCTGCAGTCAACAAAATTAACTGATAAACCTAGATTTATCGGTTAATTGTACGGTCAACTACACACTGACAACCTTAGTCCTTTCCAGTTCTAGTATTCCATGATTCTATAAGCAGCAAGTTAGGCACAAGCTTACATCCTGGCAGGACCAAGTATTTAACAGTGTAGTAAGATGGAGAATTTTTGCACGTGTTTATTTTTAATGGCAATGGAAGAACATGGCTGGGCTGGAGCGACCTCCGCTCCCCCCACAGGCAGGGGCTGCTTCTGTAGCATGGACAGGGGTTGCTCAGGCTGGGCTGGAAGGTGGGCCCTGCAAGGTTGGAGCAGCTCCCTGGCCATGGTTGGGGGGGAGCTGCTCCAGTCCCACGGGTTAACCAGAACTGTTAAGCATCACCTTTCACATCCCTACTAGGAATGTGATAGTAAAGCTGATTAACCAATTAACCAATACACTTCTGCTTCTGCTATAGACTACATGTATTCCCCCCCATTAAATTTTTTAGTAGGCTGGCCAGTAGTCCAGCTCAGTCCTGGCTTGTGCTAGGTCCCGTACCTAACCCCACTGTAGTTCTACATTTAAAGTGTATTAGGAGCCAGGCAGGCAGGTAGCCCAGTTCAGTTCTGGTTCACACCCAACCCAGGGGCTGCTGCCACCCCCATATTGCTGCCTCTGTATCAGACACAGCAGTGCGCGGTAACAGGCAGATGATCCACAACAGGAGCTGGTTTTTGAATTGGTTCCCCTTGCAGACCAGCTTCTGCCTGGCACCTCAAGCTGCTGCCTCTGACACAGAGGCAGCAACACAGAGTGTCAAGGGAATGAGGCCAGAGTGAACTGGCTGCCAGCCCCACCCCCGAGGACTACAGAATAGTCGAGTAACTGATAAAAATTCATGAGGTCAATCGACTATTCAATTAACCAATATTTAAAATCCCTAATTCCTACTGTGCACGATTCAAACATTTTAACAAAAGTGACCTGTTACCTGTATTATTGGCCTGCGTAACATCTCTGCTGTTTTCTCTTTGTGATTAGACTGTGTTTTTGAGAACATAAAAGGGTGGGGGGAAAAACAACAGAAGATGAGCATTCAATTTCTCCTATCAATTAGGTCAATGTTTATTCATATGGTGCTGCAGCAGCACCAATATAAAACATCTGATGATGCTACCTTGTGCTCACAACTTAATAAAATGTTCTCTGCATAATAAAATCACCTCCATGAGCAGTAGTAGCTACACCAGTGGGAGAAATTCTGCTGACACAGTGCACATCAGTACTTAGGTTGGGATACTTTAAGCCGCTCAGGTGGGGGTGGCTTATTCACACCACTGAGCAGCAAATTATGCTGCTATAAAGCAGAGTATAGACAGTCTCAGATCTATTTAAATTGTTAGTTGATTCTGCTCTTTTACATTCCCCCCTCCCCAGCAACATACCTCAGATCATAAGAAGGGCCCTACCGGGTCAGACCATCTAGCCCCGTGTCCCGACAGTAGCCAACTAAACCTAACTAAACCGTTACTTTTTACGAGTCTCATTCAAAACCCAGGGCGGGTGTGCACAGGCTGCCGCGCTGCACGGGCACAGCTGTAGCGCTTCAGCGCAGGGGCTGCTCGCCCGCAGCTAGTGGATGAACGTCGGCAAGAGCCGGTAGCTCGGTGGACAGGGGGGGCCTCCCCCCGCC